CTTCTTCCCCGGAAGACCATTTTTGGCTCGCTGATAATTCCAGAGGGGAAAAATGTTCGTGTTGAATCGAAATTGAAACTTTTCTAAATTTTTGGTGAAGTTAAAAGTCAAAAAATACTTTGTTTGAGGTTGAAATAAACTTTGTTTTGATTATGACCATTTAAAAACATTTTTGATTGTTTCAAAATTTCCTTTAATTTTTTTTTAAAGTTGTTTCAAACCTAAAAATCAAAAGATTTCATTTCAAAAATGTTGAAACAAAACACCTCTGTTTTTTACGAAAGTCTTTCAGACTGTTTTTCCAACTGAAACATCTTGGGGATACTGAGGTGAACTTGTATCAGAGGGGTAGCCGTGTTAGTCTGAATCTGTAAAAAGCAACAGAGGGTCCTGTGGCACCTTTAAGACTAACAGAAGTACTGGGAGCATAAGCTTTCGTGGGTAAGAACCTCACTTCTTCAGATGCACTTCTTTAGCTGGTGGGCTTGTGTTTCATGTTGCTGAATCTGTGTTTATCTGCCGAAAAAATTCATCCCAAAAATTCATCCAGTTCTACACACGAACGCCTTAACACATCCAGCTTCTGGGCTCTGTAAAGGGGAAATCTCAGCTTCTGTTGAGAAAATGTATGTTTCTAGCACATCTCCTTGAATAGATAACCTTGAAAAAGAAAATCAATGTAAATTGATCTGATGAAACAAGGAGCTGAGCTGCACTCAGACTCTTAGCTGCTTACCTGTGTGTGTGTGTGTGTACCACCTCTGCTTGTTGACATTTTCAGCCATTTCTCAGTTGGGAGCTATCTACAAAGGCACCTACTTCTGTAAGAGGAATGTCCCTTCTCAACTGAAGCATTGTGTCCATTCTGGGCACCACAATTTGGGAAAGATGTGGACAACATTGGAGAAAATCCAGAGGAGACAAACAAAAATGATTAAAAGTCTGGAAAACATGACCTATAAGGGAAGATTGAAAAAACTGGAGAAGAGAAGACTGGGTAGGGGGACATAACAGTCTTCAAGTAAAAGATTCTATAAAGAGGAGCATGATAAATTGTCTCTTTAAACACTGAGGACAGGACAAGAAGCAATGGGCTTACATTGCAGCAAGGGAGATTTAGGTTAGACATTAAGGAAAAACTTCCTAATAAAGGTAGTTAAGTACTGGAACAAATTACCTAGGGAGGTTGTGAAATCTCAGTCATTGGACGTTTTTAAGAACAAGTCAGCCAGAACTTCATCTGAATCACTCAGGTGCAGTCCAAACTAAAGGGTATATATCAAGAGTACAACACTTAATATATACATATTAAGTCCATCAATGGCTACTAGCCGGGATGCAACACCAGGCTCTAAGGGTACATCTACACTACAGGGGGGAGTCGATTTAAGATACGCAAATTCAGCTACGTGAATAGCGTAGCTGAATTCGACGTATCGCAGCCGACTTACCCCATTGTGAGGACGGCGGCAAAATCGACTTCTGCGGCTTTCTGTCGGCGGCGCTTACTACCACCTCCGCTGGTGGAGTAAGAGCGTCGATTCGGGAGGTCGATTTCTACCCGCCGATTCAGGCGGGTAGTATAGACCTAGCCTAAGTATCCCTAGCCTCTGTTTGCCTGGAGCTGGGAGTGGACGACAGGATCACTCAATTGCCTGTTCTATTCATCCTCTCTGAAGCACCTGGCATTGGCCACTGTTGGAAGACAGGATATTGGGACCATTGGTCTGACCCTGTGTGGCTGTTCTTATGTTCTTATATTCACAAACATTTGCCTAGCCCATAAGAAAAATATACAAAGCCAGACTCTGCCTCTCTTACTTAAGTTGAGTAACACCTTACTCTAGAGCAGTTCCACTAACTACTCTTGGTGTATGATGCTACTCAGCTTCTGAAAGCATATCAGAGTCTGGACCTTAGGAAAGAAAAAAATAGCGTTAACTTAAATGCAGCTATATTAAATTGTTTTAACATGTCCAAAACATGTAAACCCTGTGATAGAAAGGTTATAAGAATCATTCAAGGTTCATTCACTAAAGCCCTATTGAACTTTGCCCCTCTTCAGTCAGAACTCCTAGGAACAGGGTTAAGAAACAGCTTTGTAACTAGATAAATCCTTCAGCCACCTTCTAAATCCCACTCTCCTGGGAGGACTATGAGAAGTTTGATGTATTGGCTAGCTCCTTAATCACTATTTTAAACATCATGTCCAAATTAAAGATGTATTAGCTCCTGTCCTTGGGCTCTGTGGAGTGGGGCATCTGATTCTACTGTGAAGCCATTGTCCTTTGATGTAATTGTGATTTAATAATCCCTCACTGCCAACTGGCAAAAGGTTCACTGTACTGTCACAGCTGCTTGTGCCAAGCCTGACAAACTCATTACACTGAACACTTTGGTACCATAGTGAGATCTTAAATGAAAGCCAAAATCATGCTGGTCCTTAATATCACTGTGAAATGTTATATTTAAAAAGTTCTGTCTCTGTACTGAAAAATACGTCCTTATAGCTTGCATCAAGGTGTTACTCCCCAGCACAAGTGGAAAAAACTGGTATTGCCAGACCAAGGGATGTATATTCTCATGTCTACCTAGGTTCCTATGCAGAATAAGCAATTCAGCCAAATACAATGGGGACTATATTAGCATTTCAGGGCAACAGGAGGATTTGAAGACAGCACACTGGAGAACAAACAACAGGGTGCCATCCTGGCTCTGGGGTCAAAACAATGAATTGGGGGAAATATAAGGAGAAACGAAAAGACATTTTGTTTTCCTTCACTGAGGAAGCAAAAAGGACATTTTTGCAGTCATGAAAGTTGGATCCTGGCATGTGGGCTACTGACTCGGGGAGACTGCTTTAGGTGAGACACTGTCATGTGTCTCTAAGGTTACATTAGCTCTGTGTTCTAGCGTGGTCTTCTCTTCCTATGCTCAGGAGTTAAACACTCCCTTGCTGCCTGATTGTTGAATTGTTTTTCACCAAATCAGTTCCGAAGTTCTTTAGGTTTACAAACCAATTTCCCCTCTAATAATATTTCTCTCTAAATTGCAGAAAGCCGCTCCAAAACAAGTTTCTCAGAGAGCCCTCTACTAAGGGCACAACAAAATTGGACAGTATGAGCTGACTCTTAACATGGCGAAATATTCTCCAAAGGCTAGATTGTGTCCTGTAATCACACTGGTGAGCACAAGCTGGGGTGATTCACCATTGTGAGTTGGGGTGGCACAGTCTAGTCCTTTCTGCCTCACGTGCGCTGGGTAGTACTTTACTCAGCAGGTAGCCCTATTGAAAACAATAGAACTACTTGCAGAGCAAGGTACTACCCAACGTGGGTGAGAATCTGGCCCTGAATATATCTAGGAAAAGGTGGATGTTTTCACATTGTTGCTCTTTTGGCCTAAGCATTTAGCCAAATTTCCTGGCCTTGCAAGGTTTTTTCCTTTAGGATGAGGCATCCAGCCATAAAAATCAGTTATATTGCTGCAAATATTTTTGTGACCCACAAGTCCTGCTTCCCTGCGCACACTAGAAACAAACAACAGCAGGCAGTTTCCTTGCTCAGAAAGGCCCCAAGTCAGCCCCTCCAGCGAACTGTGTGCCCAAGAAGACCAGTGTCTCTGCTTGCTCTCAGGGTCAGCTCATAACTCCTTTTGACTTGTTTCCTTCTGTACACGCCGCCTGCTACCCCTATCCTACCCCCTGCATTTGTAACCAGGGAACAGCTCCGTCCTGCCCATATGGCCTCTTGCCCTGGGCAGTAGCCCCCATTGACTTCAGTTGTTTTTACTATATAAAGGTGCATGATTGCTCCTCCTGCTGAGCCTACAGGAGAGTGGTTGGCACGTCCATTTGCTTTGATGAAGTCTATGACTGTCCTTGGATCCAAATCCCCCGTGAGGCCAGCCATTAGCACTTTTTAGCATACCCATAGCTTCCTTGAAATACCTCAGGGGGCATAAGGGAGGGGCAACTTTGACTGTGAAGTTCAGTCGTTGAATTTTTGGTGTTTGAAGGTTTTTTGGTGAATTTCTCCGAAGTGTTTTTGATGTGGTGGTTGGTGTGAAGTTACAAGGATGGGCACTGTGTGCAGCTCCATGAATACAGCGGGTAGCAGTTCCACACCAGGCAGATCTCATTGTGCAACCGAACAGCTCCCAGCAACCGACCTGACTGAACTCTCCTGAGGGGCGCAGGTCTAAACTGAGTGCCCATGTAAAGCTATCACAGTAGCTCTCATGCTTCCACTCCCCTCTTGCTACTGTCTATGTCTCTCTTCCCATCTCCCAATTCATTGTCACATCCAGAATTTAGGGCTAGGCCGAGCTCGGTGTCCCATATAGGTGGCTGTGCACAGCTGCACTGCCCCGGCTGGAGCTCTGTGGAGAACTGTGGCTCGGTCACTTGCTCCTGGAGGGAAAAAAAAACGTATTACAGCCCTTTGCACCTTCTATAATGCAGACATCCTTCAAAGAGAACCCCTCACTACACACACCACCCTGTTCCTATTCCAGCCTCTTCTCAGATGTCTCATGAATGTTTGGGGAGAGGAGCAGTGACTTGCTCCTGGAGCTGGTTGCTGGAGTCCTCAGTTGGATCTCTGTCTCCATCTACTACTGACTGTGGGGTGGGGGGCACCAGGTAAGGGCTAACTAATCCACCAGATTAGGGGTGGCCAAGCTGAGCCTGAGAAGGAGCCAGAATTTACCAATGTACATTGCCAAAGAGCCACAGTAATACATCAGCAGCTCCCCTCCTCCCGCTCCCAGCACCTCCCACCCACCGGCAGCCCCTCCAATCAGCGCCTCCACTTCCCTCCCCACATCTCCTGATTAGCTGTTTCATGGCATGCAGGAGGCTCGGGGGGGGGGGAGGGAAGGGTGGAGGAGGAGTGAGGGCACGGCAGGCTCAGGGGAGGGGGCGGGAAGGGGTGGAGTGGGGGCAGGGCCTGTGGCAGAGCCAGGGGTTGAGCAGTGAGCACCCCCCCAGCACATTAGAGAGTTGGCATCTGTAGCTCCAGCCCCGGAATCAGTGCCTATACAAGGAGATGGATGGCAGGAGAGAGATCACTTGATCATTACCTGTTAGGTTCACTCCCTCTGGGGCACCTGGCATTGGCCACTGTCGGCAGACAGGATACTGGGTTGGATGGACCTTTGGTCTGACCCAGTATGGCCATTCTTATGTTCTTATGAGCTGCATATTAACTTCTGAAGAGCCGCATGTGGCTCCGGAGCCACAAGTTGGCCACCCCTGCTCCAGATCAAGAGATGTGTCCTTTTGGGGGTATGCCTCAGGAGGTGACCTAATCCCAACCCAGAAGGCAGTAACGCACCCTTATCGCTAGCTCTGATATGTGCAAAGGAACTTAATGGAGTAGTTAGGGAATTTCCTAGGTCTTTTCAGCAGCCACACACTACCTGTTTGACCCCATAATATCTACTGTATGGTTTCTGGGGACTTCTAGGGGGTTCCTTAGCTACCACACTAAAGCATATGCAACATTAGGGCTGTAAGCCGTTACTGGCATTTAGATTGTAAACTACTTGAAGCAGGGAGTGCCCCTTCCTCCATGTTTTGTACAGCACCTGGCGCAATAATTAAAAAAATAATAATGAATAGTGTAGCAACCACTTCCTGCCCCTCCCCTCTGGAAAAAGGAACAAGACCTCTTTGGTTACCTCCATTCCATAATCACACTGATGTGGTATCCGAGGGTTGTTCTTAAATGCCAGGTTGCTGATTTGTTTTTAAAGAGCAATTATGCTTTTGTGATGTCAAAGACACAGGAATTACAGGGACTTTGCAGAGAGAGACAGGAAAACAAAGGGCGTCAAACCTGGGATTTACCAACCTTGACAGCTTCTCTGTAAGTTTGTAAAGTGATCATTTTCAGCGCAATGGATTTTAATTAATGCTCTTACTCTATTAATATAGGAACGCTATTTTTTACCTGGCATGTGTCATTTCTGATCTGCAGCATATTAATTAGTAGAATAATATTTCAAATGAAAAGTGTCAGGAAATGTATTTCTGTGGAGCTACCCTGTCTAGTGTGTGAATGAAGTGTGATATGGCACCGGCATACCATTGTGTACAATGATACAAGTTGAATGTGGATAATATATTTTTTTATCGTGTAGCACAACTGCTGCTCTAGGAGTGTAACTGCCAATGAATGTTGTTCTGATAGGAAGGTCCTGCTAATGCCACTTAGTGTTAACATCAATTCGTGAGAATATCATGTGACCCAAGCTAATAAATTGGAGATGATGTGCATTTTGCACACTTATCTGTATGTGCACGGGGGTTTGTTTGCTAATATATTTATAAAGAATCCTATTGGTAAGATTATCAGGAAGGCTGTACTTTGAAAACAAACCATCGCCAACAACAACAACAAAACAAAACCCAAGCCTGCCTTTGTGTGTGGGCGGGAAGAAAGGGTGGCACATTTGCTTCAAATGGAAGTACAGCACACTAAATAAAAACGTAAAAGTCACCTTCTGCAAAGACTGCAGAGCAGCAGGAAAAAAAAATACACAAAGAAACCGTAGGCTTGCTACCAGCCAGGACTGTTACATGTGCTAATGTAACACATCCCTGTTGAATTTCTAGTGGTGTGAAAAGCAGAACAGCTTTGGCTATCACATGTAAGGCAGTGTGCAATGGCAGGCCCTTGGGTCTTGTTTCTGCTCTTTGCAGGCTTGCCAGCTGCATTGCTGAAAAATAGAACAGTCGTGTCAGCAAGAACGAGACGTGCCATGTGCGTGCGCGGGTGCTGAGACCAAACTGAAACGGTGGGAGATAAAAGAAGGGCATTTTGTCTCTGCTTCTATACAAAGTGAAAAACTGTGAGATGTGTCAGCAGGTCTGGAGCGACCCTGTTATATGTGTGTCACCAGGTTGGAAAAAAACAAAGAGAAATTATTCAGGGAGGCTCTGCAAGCTCCCACATGAAACCCTTATTCTCCCCAGAGAGTGTGAGCAATTCTCCTTTGAGAGGCTTAGGGCTTGTCTACACACTGCTGGCAAAGTGCACTACAGGGATGTGATTTGAAAAGTACTCTCAAGCACTTCACTCTGTGTAGATCCTACGCGCCTGCTCTGAAAGGAAGCTAAATTCAGGTTAACATAATCTGCCTTAACATGAAGTAGGTACCTTTTTAGATCGCGCCTGCAGAGTCTACGTGGGTAGTTAGAGTGCAGCACATGAGTGTGCTTTACAAATCACACCTACCATACCGTGTAGACAAGGCCTTATAGGAGGGATGATGGGTAGCATAATCCTTGCCATTCACTGACAGAGAAACTTGAGCGGTTGCTCAAATGAGGCAGGGATTGAAAAGGGACCAAACTCTGGTGAGAATGCAAATGAAGATTTGAAAAGTGGTGCATTATAGTGATGGAGAATATGGGACGATTAAACATTAGAGGGGATAATTCCCAACAAATGTATTCAATACATTTCCTCTTTTCTATCTATCTTAAGTACGTATCAGGGCCCCATCACAATAATATTTTAGCACCTCACAGTCATTAACATATTAATCCTTGCAGCACTGCTGTGAGATGGGAAAGGGCTATTATCCCAGTTTTACAGGTGCAGAACTGATACACAGAGAGCTTAAGTGATTTGCCCAAGGTCACCCAGGAAGTCTGTGGCAGAGCTTGGAGTTAAACCCAGATCTCTGGTTAGCACCCTGACTACTGGACCATCCTTCCTGAACTGTCTGTGAATAGCTTGGGAAAATCTGGAGTGTATTTGCTATTCGGAATTATTTTTCAGTTAGTAATTTTGGGACTGCAGATCATTTTAATGGAAAAAAAATAACACCGAATATACTGTTCACAATAAAGAATGGAGGTTTTTAAGAACAGGTTGGACAAACTCCCGTCAGGGATAATATAGGTTTACTTGGTCTGGCCTCAGTGCAGGGGGCTGGACTAGATGACTCACAAGGTCTTTTCTAGCCCTTCATTCCTATGATTCTATAATAGGATTTTCCAAAGTGCTCAGCGCTGGCTTACCTCTGCTCCCATTGAAGTCAATGGGAGTTTTGCCAGTGATTGCAGGACTAGGAGGAGCAGAGAAAGGCTGCCACTCTAAAAGCTGTAACTTTCGCAATTAACAAGCACAGCGTGAGTTGCAAATTGTAGAGCTGACTGTAATAATAACAATGTTGAGTTTGTGCTGTGGAAGGAACAGAAAAAATGCTAAATGACTTGCATAACGCCCTGATCCTGCAATGAAATTGACTTCATTCCAACTCTACACTGGCACAGGGATCCACCCAAGCGGCTCTAAGAGCAGAATCAAATCCTAAGCCACCAGCGCAGTATGAATGGTAAAGTGTACAACTGAGTATACAATTCCCAGGGGCCTCAATGGAAAATCTGTTTGTGGGACAAATGCAGGAGAGAGAGCAGAAATTTAAGAAGGGGGAAGATTGGTTGACCCTTGAACACACCATCCCTTTGGGCCCTGGCAGCTTCATAGTTTGATCCTTAGTCTCTGAAGTTCAAAAGAGAAATAACAGTAGACCCCATTCTGGGCTTTTGTGAGGGAGGTTTATTAGGAATCCAATAGCAATTTCCAGTAAGACAGACTCCTATCAAACTGCTCTAGGACTGTGAACATGATATCAGCTAGGTCTAGAAGCTCATGTCCTACTGGCAGGTGAATGGGGAGTAGGTTAATGGGGGTGGGGGAAAGGAGCGTTTGAGGAGTAGTTGCAGATCTTGTGCTAGAGGGTAAGGACTTGGCAAGATGGGCATTTGGTCTATGTGTTGTGTCTCTATGGGGACCTTGGGTGTCGGCTTTTGAGTTTCTGATTAGGCCATGTGTTTGCTTTGGTCTGTTGGTTGTGTCTCAGAGACATGTGATTGGGCTTCCAGGCTCATTTATCAGGCCCAGGGTCTGAAGTCTGAAGTGTTGAACCTTCCCTGTTAATGAAGGGGTGATGCTGACCAGCTACTGCAGGTATATTATATAGGCCAGAGGCCAAGTGAACTCCTGAGAAGGTTAATGGGCATTTCTGAGAGCATTTAGGCACTTTCTGTCTAGGGTACACTTCTACATGAGTGATGGCGATGGCCACTGATGGAACAACTGTTGTGACTTGCAATGGAGGTGCCATGTTCTGTCTTGCAGCAGGAAACCGAAGGCACTTCCTGTACATGGAGCACACATAGATGGATGTATTGGAAAAAAATATTCATGGTCTTAAGGATGACTCTGGATTCTGTATAAGAATCTATGAACACTCCCCCTCCCAACCTGTGGACATTTTTGGCCCAGGCCTGATTTTTTCAGACTCCTACAAGTCTTTCTGGTCTAATGCAATGTATTCTGGCCTCCTCACATTCTTGTATATTTTCTATTGTTGCCTCATTTGACTCTAGCTGGT